GTAGGTACCACTGGGAGCTCTGGGAATGGTATGAAACATGTCAGTCATCTGTTAAGTATTCCTGGGGGGTTACAGTTAAACTATCTGACACTTCAGTTTGCTTCTATGCAAGCTGAGTAGGTCCCAGTGGCTAGAGAAAGTTGTCAGACAAAGATTTGCAGGTGCTGCCAGTTGAACATTGGGCTGGGCTTGCATGGATATGGAAAATGCCAAGGGGTTGTGTAAGACATCAAAAGCATCTTCCCATGAGTAGGTAGGAGAAGTGGTCTTGTCCTAATTTATAGATAGTAAACTGAGGTCCAGCTTAACATTCTAGAACAATTTGGATGAAAGTGATACAGTGAGAGAAATCGCCCCTTTTGATCATGTATTTTGGGTTCATCCAGAGTCCTTTCCATAAGCTATCCTTCCTTCCTATCATGTGTAAATTGGGTAGCTGGTAGGTCTATCTGTGTGGCAGAGACTGGCTGGGCCCTTAAGTATCCTCTTTCTGCTTCCTAAGACGTTAAGTGGATCTATCTCTCAGTATCCCTTACAGAAGAGTGTGGTATGTATCGGAAATATGGAGACTGGGTGGAAGTGACATACAGTACTTCCTGGTTGACCTACAAAAACCTGAAAGCATATTTTTCTTGTTTTTTACTCCTACATAGAGCATCTAGGGCATCCCAGAGAGTCATGCCTGGAGTAGGACAGAGTCAAAATAATGGATCCTTGGGTCATCTCTGAACCACTTGACTAGAAACATACTCTTTAGATTTTTTTAAAAATTAAATTTGTCAGTTGTTTATATCTCCATATAACTTTAGGATTATATTTTTACTCCTCTTTATGTGCACGTGCTTCACTTATCCTTCACCAAAACTCCCATGCCAATGCCCTAATCCCTTCCTTCCCCTATCCCTGCCTTCCTCTCCTTGTTCCCTCTGGCCACCATTGCATTTTTCAGAAAGTCAGAAATTTGTTTTTGCTGTATTTTGCCAGTATATGTTTTTGGTTATTTATATTGCACAGATAAGTAAAACTATCTAACACCTCTCTTTCACTTTCTGACTTATTTCATGTAACATAATTATCTCAAGGTCCATCTATTTTGTCTCAAAAAAAAAAAAAATAACCCACTATTTCATCTTTTTAATAGCTCAGTAGTATTCCATTGTATATATATTCCACAATTTCTTTATCCAGTCATTTGTTGAAGGACACTTAGATTGATTCCATGACTTCACAATTGTGGTCTGTGCAGCTATGAACATAAGAGTGTGTAAATCTTTTCATATTATTTGGGAAAATACCTAGTAGAGATATTGCTGGCACATGTGGGATTTCCATTTTTTCTCTCTTAAAAAAATCTACACACTGTTTTCCCTGAGGCTGAACCAACTTGCATTCCCACTCACAGAGGATGAGAATTCCTTTTTCTTCACATCCTTGCAAACATTTGTTGTTTCCATTCTTTTTGATATAGGCCATCTCCCAGGGGTGATGTTATAATTCATTGTGGTTTTGATTTGCATTTTCCTTATAATAAGTGATGGTAAACAATTTTTCATGTGTCTGCAGGACATCTGGATGTCTTCTTTAGAAAAATATCTATTTATGTCTTTTGTCCATCTTTAATTGAGTTGTCTGATTTTTTGTTGTTGGATTGTATAAGTACTTTGTATATTTTGGAAATTAGCCCCTTGTCAGATGTGTGATGTGTAAATATCTTCTCCCAGTCTGTAGGCTGCCTTTTTGTTTTTGCCATGGTTTCTTTTGAGGTTCAAAAGATTTTTAGTTTTGATGTAGTCCCACTTGTTTATTTTTGCTTTTCCCCCCCTTGCCATTGGAGTTGGGTCCCCAAATACATCTTTGTGGTAGTGTATCCCCTATGTTTTCTTTTAAGTATGTTATGGTTTCAGATCTTATAGTTAAGTCTTTAATCCATTTTGAGTTAAATTTTGAGTGTGGTGTTAAATGTGGATCTAGATTCAATTTATTTTGCACAAGACTACCCAAATTTCCCCAATATTACTTGTTAAGAGGCTTCTTTTCTCCATTGCATAGTCATACTCCTTTGTCTAAGACTGGCTGTCTATATTTGAGATTTCTATTCTTTTTCATTGTTCTGGGTTTCTATTTTTGTTCCAATACCGTGCTATTGAATACTTTGATTACTGTGCTGTGTTATTTATAGTTTTAAGTCAAGAGTGATAGCTCCCCATTTTCTCTTTCCTCTCAGGATTGCTATAGTTATTCAGGGCCTTTTGTGGTACCACACACATATTATAATTGTTTGATTTTCTTAAAAAAAATCATGGGATTTTGATAGGTATTGCATTGCATCTGTAAGTTGCTTTAAGTAATATGGGCCATTTTAGTAATGTTTATTCTTTCAATGCATGTGCATGGGATGTGTTTTCATTTTCTTGTGTCTTCTTTTATTTCCTTTAACAGTCTTAGAGTTTCCAATTAATAGGTCCTTCACTTCCTCCATTAAGCTTATTCTCATCTATTTCATTCTTTTTTGTGTGACTGTATACTTTGATTGTGATAAGCAGCTGTGACTTGTGGATTATCTATTATAGCAACTACTATCTTAATGCAACATACATGTTTGGCCAAATAATCAATTTTTCTTTATACTACTTACCATTATGTCAGAGCAAGTACTTATTTATCAGCTGTCTATATACCAATAAGAAGAGAAATAGACAATGATGTATCTCTGGCAGCTGGAATATCTGACAACTTGTACATTCTCAGTATTTGTCCAATGAGTAAACTCTGATGCCCAATTTTCATTGCACATGGTACGTGATAGGCCCTGTGCTAAGAACTTCATATATCTTATTTCATTATCACAACAGCTATATGTGGAAATTGGAATGTAAAGAGACTGATTAACTTATCTAGGGGTATCCAGCAGTCAAGTCAAGAAGGAGCTAGGATCAGAATTCAGGCACTCTGACTCAACCCTCAAACTCTGATGATCTGTGCACATTGCTCAGACACAGTATGAGGGTGTAGGAACTGGGGTATAGGAAAGCATGAAGCATAGCACCTGCCAGTGAGGTCTCCTCAATAAGCAACAATTATCATGGCATTGGTGTACATTGGGGAAAACAGTCTAGTCTTTGTTCTTACTCATGGAGCAGATTATCTTTAAAAATGTTCAGTTTTGTTATTCACCCAATCTGAGCAAGAGCTCAGGTACAGGATCAAAAATGCTCTTACAGAATGTGAGAAAACTAGGCAGACTGCATAGAGATAAAGACACATCCTCTATCACTAATGGGAATTACCATAATGGTTGATGCAGGAATATTTATCAGATTTGAACAATTTTAGAAAAGGCAGAGTAATTAGCTGGAGTAAAGAAACCTAATCTTGTGGGTGTTGAGAAGAGTTAGGAAGAGAGTAGAACAAAGGGTTTGAGTTAAGAATTTGGGTATGGTAATTAGACAAACTGGCTACAACCAGATCTGCCATATATGGAATAGTGTTATGACTTCAGGAAAGTTATCTAATCTTGTTGGGCTTTCTTCCCATCACCTATACCATGGATGCAATATGCCTGCTTCCCATGGTAAACTAATCAGCACAAAGGCACAGAGCATGCACTCAGGAAAGAGTGATGGGTATAGTATTTATTCTCGATCCCTTACCCCGGTCAGGGGTAAAATCTACCCTCTTGGACACTGAGCTATAAAGAGAGAAACAAGTGAGAGAGTCATCATGGGGGACACCTGAACTGGGGATGAAACTTGGAGCTCCCTTTACCCTTCCTATGAGCAGCCACTAGAGGGCCTTAAACATCTCTGTTTGCCACTGTTGGATTGCCCAGGTATGGCACCCCAGAAACACAGTGGATTAATATAAAAAGGGCTCTCTTTCCAGGGAGAAGGAAAGGAACAAAACATTTGCTGAGAGGCATTTGTAGAACAGATTCTGAGAGGTGCTGCTGGTGTGGCCACAGATAACCTTTGCTGTGGGTTAAGTCTTGACCCTTGAGCACATGATCCACTTCTCATGAAAAAATTACTGGGTGTTGGCCTGGAACTGGCTTGGGGCCCTGTATTGAATGAGATAATGTCTCCTTGTTTTATTAGATAACCTGAGTAGAGATGTCTGTATTCCTGAGGATCATTCATCAATCCCCTGAAGCTTTGGCATTGAAAAGTAATTTATCTTGATTGAAGCAGATTATAGTTCATCAAATATCCAGAGATGTGGCACTGTCCTGATTATATACATGGAGACTAAGAGCAGCAGACAAAGAGCCCAGGGCTACTCGTGGGCTTTTGATTCAAGCCTCCTTCCAACCATCAGTTCATCAGGTCAGCAAGGTGATAAGAAGAGGCAGAGTTCATTGAAAACATTCCTCATATCAGTCATTCTCACTGTAGTATGAAAGAGTTCTATTCCTTTGATCTTCCATGCAAAATCCTTAACAAAATCAATTTTGATATGGTTCCATAATTCATCCTCATAACTTTTTGTCTCTTTGCCCATGACTCTAAAGTTAGAAGTTTTCAGTATGCATCGGGCTCTTTCCTGGTTCCCTGACTTTGTTCATAGTGTTTCCTTATTTTCTTTTTCCTCTTCACTGCTTTATGAAATACCCCTCCTTCATTAGGCCCAACAAGTGCTTCCCTAATTCTTGCCTCTATTTTCTCATTGCACTTTGCAATTCTATTTTATTTTATTTTTTTAAGATTTATTTATTTTTGTACAAGAGCCGAGGTACAAGCCAGAGGCACGGGAAGGTGAGAGGATTCACCAGAGACAAAGCAGGGAGCAGAACAGGCAGATTGACTGAAATACACTGCTGAGCAGAGCAGCGGGCGAGACAGGAGAGGTCTGCTGTGCCATGTGGGATTCTCCCTGGCTGGCCGGGAATCGAACCCGCACTGCAGAGGCTGCAGACAGTGCGGTGCCCAGCCCGCTGCGCCACCGAGGAGGCCCTGCAAATCTATTTTAATAGAAAATTTATCAGAAGGCATTATTTCTGCATACTTTTGTTTTATCGTTCAGTTAGACCTCTCATGTGCTTTATCTAAGCCTCTGCTTGAATCTATGTCTTCACAAGGAACTTACCACCACAAAGGTAATATAATCCACTGCAACCAATTCTCTTTACATTATTCGAAACATCTCTTTCTATTTTTACAATCCAAATCTCAAGTTTCCCTGATATACAAACTTATTGATTCAATCCCTGCCAATTCAGTTGTCTAAAATTCCTTCAGATGCGAATAAGTCTCCTTAAAGATAAGCATCATCGTGAGAGTGGGCAACACATGGCTAATTTAATCTAAGATGTAAATGACAGATAAGAGTTTTTCCAAAAGAGCAAGATTTTATTAAGGTGGGGCCAGGAATACCAAAGACATCAGGTATGATTTAAGTTCAGCAACATTTTAATATATTAGAAAGAGCACTGGGTTAAGAAATGAAAGGTGTGTTCGATGTGATTTTTTTTCTGAGTTTTGGTTTTCTCATCTGGAAAAGTAATAATTTGCATGATGAATTGTTTTGTTTATTATAGTTGCAGAATTTTGCCTGCACTTTCATCACCTTTACTCCGGCTTTCTTAGCTCTTTCTTTGCTTTGTGTGGGCAAAAAGTCACATATGTTAATGAACTTTAGCCTCTTGGGGATTGGTGTGACACCCTTGGTACCAAAAATGCTATGACTTATTCCACAATAATGTCAATCAATGAGCCCTTTATAACCATATGGTTTGAATGTTCCTTTCCCGTGCCTTGAAACCCAGCTTTGCCAGGGCTTTTATGGTATTTGTATCATAAATATTTGCAGGTAACACATTTTATTCAGGTAACACATTTTATTATGATTTTATTATATATTCTCTTCCTGGAGTTTGCAAGTAAAGACTGCATAAGAACCAACACTTTATTTATCCTAAGTTCCACCCTACAAAACCAGGTCATATTAAAATTGCTCGATGCTCTGACTCAATGACTCAATAAATACTTTACAAAAATAATGTAGTCTTTTTCCTTCTTAAAACATAAAAAATTAGGATTTCCTAGACTTGAGTCCCTCTCCCTTTTTTATATTTATTTACTGAGAATGTATCAGTGGAGAAAAAATTATTAAGATGGCACTATAATAAAATAGATGAAATGAGGTTCATGTACCTATCTTATTTGTTTTGCATTTTTCTTTGGAAAAGTGCTATTCCCTGTTTTCATATCTACCCTTTCTGCAGCTTTCTGAACCCACTAAGTTGTGAGCAGAAATTCTGCCACCCTGGGGCCTTTTAGTAGAATCATAGCATTATACCAATAATGGCAATTATCTGAAAGTCTATTTAAAACCAGGCTTCAGATTTGCCCCTAAAACATTCATTTTCCCTTTCCCCTACCCAGTATGAAGCAAGGGCATTTCAGAAGCTGAGTGTTCAGCAAGATGCCCCACGACTAAATAACATTTGGTTTAAGGTGTGCATTTTCTTATTTTGATAGATTTCCATTGAACTATTTATTTTTAAAGAAATCTTTACATTCCCTTTCTCTTCCACTTCCCTAAGCCCCTTGGTGAACTCTCACAGAAGTGATTAAATAGTTTCATCATGACAACTCCAGAGAAAAGGTTATGCTTAAGTCACATTCATATTAAATAAGTTATATATAAAAATTGCTTATAACGTTTACAGCTTCAGTCTCTTTCCCCCTTTGCTTCTCTAGGAAACACCAGATCCAGATGTGAATTGAATCCCACCCACTATAATTCCAGGATCTTCCATTTCTCTGTCCTCATCCTCCTGTTGACATGATCCCTTCGAAGACTTCTGAGGCCTATAGGCATTGTAGGTGGCAAGGGTGGCTTCAGATGGTCACCTGGACCTGGCACACAGCCCTAGTGTAATTTATGAAAATAATCATATGGTATATACAAATATACATAATGTGGAGAAGAGGGACTCTGCCTCAGGTGGCAGATCAGTGCAGTGCCTAGTGTCACAGATACTAGAGGTGGCCCCTAGTTAATACTCCCTGGCTTCTTGGAACTGCTTGATGTAATCTTCATCTGAGGGACTTTCGGTGCACTTCTGTCCATTGTTGGGAGGCCGGGCCTCATTATACCTGCTCCAGTCGCCCTTGCAGATAATCCAGGGCAGGACGTCCACTTTGTAGTGAAGCTCTGCTGAGAACTCTGTGCTGATGAGGTTGGGCGTCCCCGCTCCTTTACCCCTGGTGATGAGCTGCATGTTGTCGCCATAGCAACAGTGCTGGGCAGCCAGAGTAGTGCTTTCCAGGGACAGCATGGAGCGAATGCAGTACCGGGCTGTGGGTTTGTAGATCTCCAGTTTCTCCTTGGGCCCACTGGCATCCTTCCAGCGGAAGTCCTTACGCTTGATGCGGTCAAAGATGTCTGCCGTGCTGTAGGCCACCTCCGTGGGGTAGGAGCATGGGCAACTGGGTAGGTCATTGATCACCTTGTGCATGTACTTCTTTAAGAACTCGCTTTTGCAGCTCATCCACCGCTCACAGCTGTCAGTGTCTGAAAAAGGCCACAGAGAAACCCTCTAACCAAATGCAAAAAGGGCAGAGGGTGATGTAAGACAACTCCCCCTCCCAGAGTCAATCTAACCCCATTGGCTTCCCTTTAGCCACCAGGTGTCCATGCTCACCTCTCTTGAATTTGGGAACTTGGTTCAATGCTGAATTAAAGGCAACTTCCTACCCTGCCCACTTTATATTTGAAAAATTTTTCAAAAACATAGTGGAGAGCACATAGCTTTGCAATGACTACCTGCATGCCACCAGGAAAAGGGAATCAGAAAAAGCTCTCAGGCAAGAACTGTAGCGCTGCCAACTGGAGGTCAGGCTGGGCTATGCAGACTTGGTGTGTGTGGGTAGAGGGGACGTGGGCTGGTCACCCACAGTATCTGCCTCAATAAATTGCAGTGGGTAAGATGAGGCATATTTAAGGAAGCCTACCGTGATGCTTTGTGGAGTGACTCAAAGGAGGCAAAGGAATAAGTGGTCCCATGGGTGTTCAATGCAATGTCATTTCTATCAGTGCAAGTGTGTGACTGGTCCTGAGACACGCAGAGCTGCATGGCAGCCACTGCATAGGTGCCCCGCTCAGAGCTCCTACAAGAAAACCCATAATGAGGACTTCGCAGAATGGTAGTCTCCAGCTATAGCAGCTTTGGATCTGCTCAGGTGTTCACATCAAGGTCACACTCAGGCTGTGCTACTCTCAGAAAATGACTGAGTGTTATGGGCACCATTTTGGGACTCCTCCAACAGACAAAGGCTTGGGATGCCCCCTTAGCATGACTCAAGACTTTATCAGACTTGCACTGAGGTATTTGCTTCCCAGTTCTCCTTCCGTCTCTTTCTGCATCTCAGTCTGAAAGTTCTTCCTGCCTATTCTTTTTTTTTTTTAAAGATTTATTTATTTATTTATACAAGCACTGGGTACAGTCAGAAGCGCGGGAGGGTGAGAGAATTCACCAGAGCCAGAGCGGGGAACAGAACAGGCAGACTGATTGAAGTACACTGCTGAGGGGAGCAGCGGGCGGCAGGAGAGGTCTTTGCACCATGTAGTACCCTCGAACCGGCGCTGCAGAGGCTGCGGGCAGCTTCACAACTCAGCACTCAACCGCTGCGCCACCAGGGGAGGCCCACTTCCTGCCTATTCTTGATTTCTCCCCTATCGCCTCCTCCAAAAATCTCTTGAAATTCTAATTCTACCTGATAAATGCTCCTTGGAGGACCTGAACTGACAGACCACACTAACAGAGGTGGAGACAGACCATGGGAAGGTGCTCCAGGTACACATTAATCATTCAAACCAAAGTTAAATAGAAAAAAACTGGTCTTTATCAACAAAGTTCAGTGAGACTCCAGAAAAATGGCTTTGTATTTTCTCTAGGGTGGAAAGTCATCTTAATTCATGTACCTACAGGACATTGATTGACTGTGCATCAAGCTTACATAGTGTTAAGTGTGAACAAATACAAATATTAACTCAGTTAACTTTACAATATTTCTATCAGGTTGGCATTATACCTCCTGCTATTTTACAGATCAGAAAATTGACATAGTGCAGATAAAGAAACTTGATCTTGCACAAGTCACGCTTTTCCCATCTCTGCTGGGCATCTTCTGTTTGTCCTTCTATATCCTCATTCCATAATTTTCCTTGCCCTGGAAGATTTTTCTGTGAGAACTGAATTAACAGGCTCCTTGAGCCCTGACATCTAGTTAGGTTGGGCCAAAAGGAGGACTGGCCAGACCAGAGGAAGGGAAAGGAGTGTGAGGGTATTTGTCCTCTTTACTCCCCCCTCCCTGTTATGAATGTGCTATAGCCTTCTGAGAGCCAGGATTGCTGTCAGATAGCCCTCTTTGCTGCTACCTGGTAGGTTCTCATAATCACTACTTCATCTGTTCCCTACATGGAATTGGGTGGTAAGAGTTCCCCACTCTTTCCAGCCTTGGGTTTTTCTACACTCCCCTCTTGGTTTACATTCATGCTGCTCATACCTTTGCAAACAGTTCCTCAACTGCCCTTCAATTACCCGATTTGCATGTGCCATGTATTTTTCCTGCCTGGCACCCAACTGATTCATCATTCTTACTCCTCCCTTTGTATCCATAGCTGCCTCTCAGGTGTGGCTTTGTGCATCTGGACCCATCCTTTGCGAAAGGTCAAATGGCAAATGGCCGCCTGCCTGTGGTGTGTGATACAGGAGGTCTGAGAAGCTCTTTGCTGTGAAGGACTGACTTTGCTGTTTGTTGGCCTTTACATTTATAAAATTCCCATGTTTCATCTTTTTAAATTTGTTTTTGGGTCAAATGCTTTGTGTTTGCAGAAGGCTCCTGCTACAGGCAGTTTATATGAACTGTGGTGGAATACCTGGATAGCAAAGAATTTCCAAGCTATCTCCAGTTTGGTTGAGGAAGCAGGGCAGAAGTGAAGAGGCTAAGAAAGAATTTTGGACGTCACAAAAGGAAATGGGGCAGAAGTCTTATTTTTCTATAATATTTAATTATATCCAGAAGTATATGAAACTATTTTTTCAAAAGAAAGCTTCCACCTTATATCTTAGTTGTCACTTAATTTTGTTTGTTTCCCATTTATTGAATTTGTTCTAGAATTTTCTAGCAAGTGAATGGCATGGTATAGCAAAAGTTTACAGAAAATTCATGTGGTGGAGCAGGGCAGGGATAACATTGAGAAAGTTCCCTCCCTCCCTCTGCTGGAGAACTGAGGACATCATTTCTTGCTGTCATTTTGGACACTCAGTGAGGGCTATAATGTTCCATGGGTCTTGCCTCTTCCTCTGGACTGATTCTGTATTAGGGAGGAGTGGTCCTAGCTTCACTGTGGCCATGGAGACTGTAGCTAGAGGACAGCTAGAGAAGGGATTCTCAGCTCTGTCTGGTGCAGGAGACACGGAACTGCTCTCTTGGAGTATATTCAGTGAGCAAGGAACATGCTGGGAGAATTGGACACCATAAGAGGAAAATGAAACATTTAAGTTAATCCAGAGATGGCCTTGCAATAGCAAAAGGAATCTTCAGAACACTAAATCAATATTTGGATAAAAACGAAAAAACCTTCTCACCAACTTCAAATAGTTTGGTGGCATTGAACTCCTCACTTCCCGCAAGCAGACTCACTTCCGTGGCAGCTGTCCTGAAGGTGTCTTCAATGCCTAAACACAGACAGGAGGTCATTTTTTCCCTAGTTATAAGGAAAAAGTCACTCCCCACCCCCAATTACAACAACAAATACACTCGAACAAAGCCTTTTTGTATTCATTACTACGCAAGGGCAGAAACTTGCCAGCAGAGGAAACAGTAAAAAGCTACATAGTTGAGCATAAAATATATTAAAACACCAGGTACCATTTGCAGCATGAAATCGGATCTAAATGTGCCAGAGTGGGTCCTAAGGAACTCGTTTATTAGGCCCCCAAATAGGGTTTTGGGCAATAGGGGACACATGCCTGCATGGTATCTGTCTGGTGTATCAGGGTGACAAACTAGAGGTGGTATAGGGTAGTGCTTAGTATCTTGTCTGGATAATACCTGCCTTAGGGAATGACTCTCCTTCAAGCCATTACTAGTGTGACCTTGGGCAAGTCACTTATTCATGTGATAAACAGTTTTTGTATCTGTAAAATGGGGAGAGCTAAATGATGCACCTTCAGGGTTGAATGGATTAAATGAATTATGTGTAAAGAAAGCACTTTGAATAGTCATGGTAAATGTTTGCTGATATTTTTCCCAGGGAGATTTGTCTAGCTCATTTTGAGGCTGCAATATTTTACAATTAGAGATCAGACATCGCATATTCTAGAACTTTCAGCATTGCTGATGATGCCACAAAAAGATTAAGTTGGGCTTGTCGTTACTTGCTCTGAGGAACTGAACCCAGGTGGCCTCAATCTTTCTGGCTCCCCAAACTACCACCCCCACCCAGGCTTCCTGTACAAACAGGAATCCTGTGTAAGCTAAGGCAGTGAGGAGAGGCAGGGGTGGTGGAACTTGGACTATTCGTTGGAGAACCTTGGCTGCCCTGTTAGGCGTGACTTGCTTCCTTTTAAGGGGTTCTTTCTGATTTTATGTGAGCGCCCTTAAACTTATTTGTAGGATTGACTTAAGGGACAAACTTTTACAGTTTAATCACTGCCAGGTCAGGGAGACTGCTGCCCCATGACTCTTTCCAGTAAGCCTGAGAATCAACAGACCAAATAGGCAGGAGGTCCTGCAAAAGGAAATCCTTCATGTTCCAAGGAGCTCTGAAAAGCTGCAAGATTCAGGAACAGAAAAGCAGAAAGGATGGAAGGAGGCTAAGTTCAGAAGCACACAAAGTGTATGAGCAGGACTGGTGAGAAGGAAATAGTCAAAATGGTGACAGGGAATAGCCGTCCCCTAACAAGATGACTAAGTCTGTCGTCTTGCCAGCTGAGAGCCCTGGATCTGGATGCCAGCTGTGGGAGATTAAAACAACAGATAAGACCCAGATCCTGATATTAAAGGCTGTTTGTATCTAAGTGTGGCTGAGCCTGATACCCTTCCTCCTAGTGACAGTGGCATAGTTCAGTGGTTAAGAGCATGAACTGTCTAATCAGACAATCAGATTCAAATTCCAGATGGGTCACTTTCTGCCTGTTTGAGTTCTAGGAAAATTAACTCCTGCCTCAGTTTCCACGCTGGAAGGGATCATGCTCAGTGAAATAAGCCAAAAAGAAAAAGAAAAATACCGGATGGTCTCACTCATAGCAGGAATCTAGAATACTTAAATAAGGGACCAGGAAAATGAATAACTATAAGAAAGTGAAAATCAAAACCAACAAAAACTATGAACCAGAGACACTTTTTGGGGGGTGGGGGGGCGGGAGGGGAGGGATTGGGGTCAGAATGGGGGGATTGCAAATGTATGAGGAATATAAAAATAAAATTTATTAATTTAAAAAAAAAAGAACAGATAGTTATTGTATCAGGCTATTATAAGTGTTACATTAAATAACATATATAAAGACCTTAGAAAAATTTTGATACTTAAATGCTCAAAAAATTTCTTATTTCTCATAATCTTTATTGTTAATTTACATATTTACATCATCTTTATTTTCACGGTAGTCACATTCTCTTTTGCTTTGTCTTCATCATTATTTTCTTCTTCATTTTCTTTATATTTTCCTTCTTATAGTTTTCTTTCTTTTCTCTTTCTCTTATTGTTATTATTATTATTATTATTAATTTCTACCCCATCCAAATTCCATCATACCAGATTGCAAACTTAGCTTCATTATGATGAGCTTGGGGAAGGTCAGAAGAAGCATTTGATAATTGCTATAATTTTTTGAAATCCATCTGCATAGCTGACAAGGAACCAGAACAACCCCTCCCACTTTTTTTCTTTATTATTTTATTAATTTATTAAGTAGAACATCAAGTGAAATGTTTTAAACATTTTCTCTTGAATTTTTACCTCTACTGAGAAAAAAAGAAAAATTATCACCTGGGTAAACCTAACATCAATTTATAGTTAGAAAATAATCATAGGGCCTCCCTGGTGGCTCAGTCAGTTGAGCGCAGTGCTGTGAAGCTGTCTGCAGCCTCTGCAGTGCTGGTTCCATTCCCGCCGGCCTTGAAGCAACCCACATGGTGAGCAGACCTCTTCTGTCTCACCCTCTGCTCCCCTCAGCAGTGTACTTTGGTCAGTCTGCCTGTTCTATTCCCCGCTCTGTCTCTGGTGAATCCTCTCACCCTCCCGCACATCTGGACTGTACCCCGGCTCTTGTATAAATAAAAAAAAAAAAAGAAAATAATCATAAAATAGGTGAGAGTCTCACATGTTCATTACTGGGAAGTGAAATGAAATAGCTAAGCGCTGTCATTTTTCTATAACCTACCTTAGCATTTTCTCCAAGTTGAAACTTTATAGTATTTGTAGAGAAACTGAAATATCATGAGTTTTTTTTAAATTGAAGTAACATTGATTTATAACATCATATAGGTTTAAGGTATCAACACCTGTATACACTACATTATGCTCATTACCAGAATTCTAGTTTCCATCCATCACCATATAGATGACGAATTTCGCCTGATTTATCATCCTCCTTCTCTTCCTGTCTGTAATCACTATTTTGTTCCTTTTGTGTAAGTTTGTTTTTGTTTTATTTAGTACATTCATGTGTTTTGTTTCTTCATACATAAGTCAAATCACATGGTGTTTGTCTTTTCATGCATGCCTTTGCAAATGCTAGGATTTCATTTGGACATCATCTTTGTCCAGTCATCTGTTGATGGGCACTTAGGTTGTTTTTTTCCAACTCTTGGCTATCGTGTATAATGCTGCACAACACACACCTCACATCTCAGCCCCATTTTCTACATATGCTCCCTTTCTAACTCACACGTGCCCAGTTTCCTTCCCTTCTCTCAGCAGAAACCCCTTTTCTCTGCCACTTTTTTTGCTCCAAATCTCAGCTGTCTGACTTGAGAACAGTTTCTAAGGGTAGGAAAAGGAAGTCTGGGGTGCAGAGATCAAATTTTTTGTCTCTGAATTTCTTTCAGATGAAGCCATTTAGAATGCGTGGTTTCTTGGAAGAACGAACATATTTTAGTTTGGCATTCTACCTGGCAATGGGAAATCCATATAATAAATGTAAAACTATAGACCTCCTGTTCTATTGGTAAATTTTTCTGTAAACTGTCACAGAGTATATATTTTAGTCTCTGTGGGTCATATATGGTTTTGGGTGCACAATCTTCCTCCCCCTTCCTTATCCTCTTCTTAATAACCCTTTAAAAATGTGTGGGTGTGCAAAAAATAGGCTGCGGTTTGACAATGACTGCTACAGACAGTCATGATTATTTTTCACTACTAAGTTTGCAATTAGTTTAGCTTTTAAAACACTAACAATGGAGTTAAAGCAACAATTAACTGCCAAGTTACCCCAGTTTCTCCATGAGAGCCTTCAGCTACTCTCAGGCATTACCTTCAGGGCTCACTGCATGGTTTGTCTGTAGATGTTTGTCAAAGCTTCACCCGACTTTCTTATCAGATCATCAGTGTCTGTCCTCATGTGTCTCTTCAAGACACAACAAATCCCACATCAAAGGCCCAAGTTAACCCGAGTCCTTCCTTTGAATTAAATAAGTACACTGTGGCATTGTCTTCTAGGTCATAGCTACTGCAATTGCGCATAAGAGTGAAAAAAAAATCCATCTTTTCACCCACTCAGCTTATTATATATCGCTTGTCTCAGTTTGGTCAGAATTCTTAATAAGGAAATGGTTGTCTTTTATAAAGTCAATTTCTGTAAGTTCTTAAATGACAAGATATCCCTTGAGCTTGGAGCTGCATCCCTTCATAAACACACCTGGGCAGTTTGGACGGTCACATGTCCTAGATTCCGTGGCAGTGCAGGCGTAGCCACAAGACCTGGTCCTTTTTTGGTTGCCGTTCCCACAGGTAACACTGCAGACAGACCAGATACTCCAGTCTCCTTCACCATCTGTGGAATCTGCAAGGGAGCCAGGGAGATGGTCACCAACCCAGAGTCCCCAAATCCCTTTGATCAAACAGCTGCCCAGTTGTCCTCTTCCATTGCTGACACTGTTGAGGGGACCAGATGCCTATGGGGTTAGCTTTTATAAGGCAGGGACTCTGAAGGACTCTTGGTGATCAACACATACCCAGGACCTGACCCATAAAGGTGACCACTAAGTTCTTGTTAAAAATGCACACATTTGCAGAAGATGGGATCTTCTCTCAGTTAGAGATGCCAGAGTACCTTCCATCTCTGTACATACATTCAAAATCTGGGCAGACTTTGGCCTTAGAAGGTCTGGCAGCTGCCAACTTTAGCTCGACTAAACCTGTGAACTATGGGACATCACATAAAAAGAGAGGAGCCACAGGAAGGCTCACCCAGACACTGGGTATATGAATAATGCCATCTTGAACTTTTTAGCTCTTCCCAGTGCACTGCAGAATGCAGCAAATCTCATTGGAAGTAGAGGAATTACCTGAATTTCTGAGCCACAGAATGAGAAATAATAACCTTTCCGTTGGGGAGGGTTATGTAAGTGAAGATAACCAGCACATAATGGTCAAGCTAGAAGTGGTCCTTTGAGGTCATCACTCAACATCAACCCATTGCATATTTATGGAATCCCTATTATATGCCAGACATAACTTTATAAATGTGGGAAATGTCATTAAATAAAACTCTCAAAGATTCCTGTTCTGATGCAACTAGTGCTTTAGTGAAAAGAGTCAGACAATAATCAATACACACAAAAAAATGAGCAAATTATAGAGTATATTAGAAGTCAATAATTAGTATGAGAAATGGAGAAAGAAACAAGATTGGGGCGACTGGGAGTGTGAGAGCTATGATGGAAGTTGGTGTATTTATCTGGATTAAATTCTTTTCTTTTTAAAAAAGTATTTTTAAATTTTTTTAAAGATGTACCATTGTTTTACATCCTTATTATTATTATTATTATTATTATTATTATTTTGGTTCGTATAGGATTTCTCTTTTGAGGAGAAACCGTAGCTTTCTTACCACAAAAGTATTCATAGTCCTCTACCATAGTGCATTGTGCTCTCCTCAAACACTGTTCTCACCCCTCTTCCTCTCACTGTCCCTCCCCGTCTACTTCTGGATGCCTCAGATAACTTCCTTTCTTTAGAAGTAAAGAAATGAAGTCCTGAGTGGTTGAGTGACTTATTCTAGGTAATAAGGGTAACAGAAAGGAAAGTCTGGGCTCTAGTGCTAAGCCCCAGATCTCTGAGCACAACTCTGCAGCATCTACACTCTGTAATACTTTCTCCTGGCTTGTCCAAATCTTCCTGCAGCCTTGGGGCCTCTACTGATGCCAAGCACAGAGCTAAAGGCATGTGCATTACAAGGAAGGGGTCCTCTCCTTTCATAACAGGTTGTGGTGGTGATTGTTATTACGTAGGCCCAGCAAGAATGTCGTCCACACATGTTTCTACCTGAGCTGTGGGCCCAGTGCCAGCCTCCAGGCTGTGTTTACATGGCACTCACTTTAAATGTTCCGCAGGCCAACATAGGGTGCTGGATCTCCTCAGTCCGTTAAGCAGTCTGGGAAGATTTCATGCTTGTGCCCTCCTTCCTAACCCAGAGCAGAGAATTTGCTCACACCTCGCCTACCCCCTAAAACCCCATCCATTTCTTCTCCCTCCAAAAGAAGATTTTTTCCGAACTTTGATTTTTTTTTCTAAGGAATGGTTTTCCAATCACACAGCCAAGCAGATGTTTGAAAATCCTGCCTTGTATGAGGGAGCTGGGCCTGCTTCCCCAGTGTTAGCTTTCTTCCTCTCTTCCATGTGTTACTGGGCATCAACACATAGAACTGAAGGGACACGTGGCTTTCTGGGGGAAAAAACTGCTGAGGTAGGGGCCTTGGCTCTCCTCAGAGACCTTTGCAGTTGATATCTCTTGGAAATCTCCTGAGAGCACGAGAGATGTTCCTGAACAACCACATCATCCACTCTTGTCAGCGGGAGCACCCGGGTACAGTGGGGTGTCACACAGGTGAACACACTCAATCACATTCCACTGAGGTAGGTTTTGCTAGAGCTCATCACAACAACAGAAAGTCACAACTAAAAATTATAATGTCTTTAAATTCATAAAAAGGGGTAGTTGCTCAGTTACGGAAAGCTTTGTAAGTCATACAGGTAGAGATCATGTTACCTGTGTGGTACAGAATCAGTGATACCCAGCGGTGTCCTGCATGGTTCAGCCCAAGCAGTGGGGCTGCAACCATATCTAGAAATCTCTTGCAATCTTTTCTTTCTAATGCAGTATTATGGGCAGCTGATTTTGGGAAATAACTTCCTTGAACTTGGACATTTTACAGTTTAATGCATCACAAGGCAAATATTGGAATCTTGAAACTGAAGTAATTTTTGGGATTTAAATTATTAAATATTAATACTGTGTCAGATTATGTGAAAAGTGACTTCCATACTTCCTCTCCATATATCGACTCTTTTAGTTACTCATCTCTCTCACCAACCTAGCAGATCATGTGACTTGCTTTGACCATTGGGAAAATAGCAAAAAATAGGTAAACAAAGATATAAAAGTGCTTGCCCATTAGCACTAGCCCTCACGGTGCTGAAGGTGACGCCTTCTACCACAATGTGAAGAGTCCAGGGCTAGACTCCTGCAGGGCTAAGGGGTAGGTGGAGAGAGACCCTAGCTTTCTCAGCACCTACAATGGTCCAGCTGGGACCCCATTATTTATTTTTTTAAAGATTTATTAATCTATGCATACATGAGCTGGGGTACAGGCCAGAGGTGTGTGTGTAGGGGGGCAGGGGGTGTGAGAGGATTCACCAGAGACAGAGTAGGGAGCAGAACAGGTAGATCCACTGAAAAACACTGCTGAGGGGAGCAGTGGGCAAGACAGGAGAGGTCTGCTGCACCATGTGGGTGCAATCCCCAGCTCCCTGGCTGGGGATTGAACTCATGCTGTAGAGGCTGAAGATAGCTTCACAGCACTGTGCTGAACCCCTTGTGCCACCAGGGAGTTCCCTGGGACCCCATTATTATAAGCAAAGCCATCCTAGATCATGTAGCTTTAGTTAAATTAGTCCAGACAACCTGCAGATGAGAGAGAGAGAATACGTTTGTTCTTTTAAGCCACTACATTTTAGAGGAGGTTTCTTAAGCAGTAAAAGCTAACTTACAAATGTACTGTAAAATTCTCCCTAAAATATGCTTTCTAGATGACCAGCCAACTCTGAAACCATGAAAGATTTATTATCCCAGGAAGTGGCTTTTTCCATGTCTTTATTTTAAATGTTCACAAAACCATGTATTTTCCAAACATATTTTTTAATATGGTCCCCTGAAGTTAGGCACAGAACAGTTACATAGCCACATGGTGAATCATTTCTATTGGGCTTGGAATGAAATGAAACAACCTGCCAGGGGAAAGTGTAGATGACAGCTCATCACCCTGAAGCCCCTGCAGCACGTGGTCCAGACGAACGGCTCAGCAAAGACCTTCCTCTCGTGGATTTCTATTTGTTTAATGTGTTCAAAGCACAGAAGAGGAATTTCTGACTGTGAGACAAAGCTGTGAGGGCAGTGTTCATTTCCGCTATAATAAGACAAGTCTGTTCTCCTTTGCTTCTAACCAAGGACCATTGCTCAGAGCAGAAAATGAATGTGAGTGGCAGTAATTGCAAAGACGACAAAAAAGACAGTAGACAACAGTCCCTGTGAACATTTATATGGGGCTTTCATAGCCCCTGTGACATCAAAGAGTGCAGTGAGAAAAGAAAACAATTTAGAGCAGTGGGCTGACAGCTGGGTTTCAAGGAGGTCATTTGAAAATTTAGAGTAGTCATTATACAGTTTCAGGGTACTGGGGTCCTGTGACCAGTTACAATGTTTGGGCAACTGAAATGATTTGAGCCTTGACCTGGCCACTGCAAGCCTCCACCACTAATCCTAGATGATAGTGGTAGCCAGTTGCTGAGGGCCCATTTTAATGAGTTGCTCTGTCTAAGCACATACTAACTCCTATAATAATTCTACAAGATAGCTAAAAACATCCTCCTTTTATGGACTGGGAAACTGAGGCTGAGAGGTTAAGGTACCTCCCTAATGGCACACAGCTCAGAATTAACAGAACTGGGATTAGATTTTCTGTTCCTTTTGTACCCTGGCCTATATTCTTGTGTTCCAGTGGCTTGGATTCTTATTCATGTTGGCTTCTTTTTTATTAAGACAACCACTTATGTGCCCCCAAATCTAACATTAAAAAGACATAACCTTGAAAAAAATCACACTGAAATCTTCTATTAACTCAGAACCATGACTAAGGACATAGAGAATCGCAAATAACTGAGTCCCAACCCAACTTACAATAAGCAGTGTCCATCTGATTTCATTATATGGATTATTAAGAATTTTGGGAATGGTGTACTACTATTTAACAGAAAAGTATTTGCTTTGACTCTCTCCTTGCCCTGGGTGATACCTTAAGAATCTACATAGGGGGCCTCCTCAGTGGCGCAGCGGTTGAGTGCTGGGTTGCGAAGCTGCCCGCAGCCTCTGCGGCGCCAGTTCCATCCCCGGCTGCTCCCAGGAGGGTCCCACATGGTGCGCAGACCTCTCCTGCCGCCCGCTGCTCCCCTCAGCAGTGTACCTTGGTCCTTCTGCCTGCTCTGCTCCCCGCTCTGGCTCTGGTGAATTCTCTCACCCTCCCGTGCTTCTGACTGTACCCAGTGCATGTATAAACAAACAAACAAATAAATAAAACATGCCTCTTAAAAAAAAAAAAAAAAGAATCTACATAGGGCCTCCCTGGTGGTATAGAGGTTAAGTCTCAGTGCTATCACCCCTGCAGCCTGAATTCAATCCCTGGCCAGGGAGCTAACCCACATATGGTGCAGCAAACCTCTCCTGTCTCGCCCACTGCTCCCCTTAGCAGTGTATTTCAATAGATCCACCTGTTCTGCTCCCCACTTTGTCTCTGGCAAATGCTCTCACCCTCTGAACCTCTATCCTACACCCTGTTCACCCTGTTCTTCTATGCATAAATAATAAACAAATCTTTTAAAAAAAAGAATCTACATAGAAAGTATTTAAAACACATTTCATAAAAATGTCTCTCAGATATATAGTCCAAATTTGAGCTGACTCATGATCACATTATATATTCCTACAATAGCAAATTAGGTCTATCTTCTATTGTGTATTTTATAATTTAGTCTAAAGATTCCATTATAATATTTTTATTTCATCAAGGATTTAAAAAAAATATCCTGGCCATCAACATTTAAGTTCTTATTAAAAATCCTACCCACAGAAATCTGAGATCAAAATTCTTTATGAAGACAAGTTTCTGGAACTTGTAAATTTTGTCTGTTTCAGGTAAGACAGCAAGCACTCAGGCAAAGTGGCTTGCATTATTTGCTAGTGCGTGAGTCTCACCTTCCTTGGCTATGTGTTCTCTGCCTGTATCCTTCATAGCACCCAACATCAGGATAAATATTTAGAAATTGCTCCATTGTTATTTGATTGAAATAAAAAGAGAACTCCGCACATCTGATACTGTATGGATTTCTGGAAATCACATGCTCCTTGTAAATCATCTGAGAAGCAGCGCTTATGTATTCATTTGGCAAATGCTGCCCAGTCTCTACAATATGCTTAGGGTGCAGCTGCTCAAGGTGTGGTCTGCTGGCCATCAATGTCAGCTTTACCTTGGCTCTGCCCATTTCCTACATCTGCTGCATCAGAAGTTACAGTTTTATAAGACCCCCACATTATTTGTGTGCATAGTAAATCTGAGAAGCAGGCCTCCCTTTGGCGCACGGGGTTGGGACATAACCTATGAAGCTGTCCATAGCCACTGTAGCACGAGTTCGATCCCAAGCCAGGGAGTTACCCACATGGCGCAGCAGACCTCTCCTGGCTTGCCCGCTGCTCCCCTCAGCAGTGTATTTCAGTCAATCTGCCTGTTCTGCTCCCCACTCTGTCTCTGGTGAATCCTCTCACCCTCCCACACCTCTGGCCTGTACCCCAGTTCTTGTATGCATAAATAAATAAATCTTTTAAAAAAATCTGAGAAGCACTGCTTTAGAAGCATTATAGGGGCAATATTTTCTTTATAAAGGCAGCCCTGATATCTGATCTAATGATGGGGAAGCTCCTAAGACAGTCTCCAAAATCTTAAAAGATGGGAGTTTCTCTATGACCCAGGGATGCTGTAAAATCCAGATGCAGGGATTTCCCAGGTGTTCTGGTCTAGAAGGAGGGGGTGAGGGTTTGAAAAGTCATAGTAACTGCTCCAGTAGAAGCAAATTCTATCCTCAAGGCCAAAATGGAAGGATATTCTTAATGTTCATGAATTCAGCTGAGTGTACTCTGTAAAAGCTTTAGATGAGAAAGTTGTTTCTCAACACTGTGTTCTTTAAACTTCAGTAAGCATCAGAATCACCTGATGATCTCTGTTAAAAAAGAAACAAAAAAGCAAAAAGAGACAAACTCCAGGTTACACTAATAGCTATTCTGATTCAGTACATGGACAGCAGCATCCCCCTACCTGGTCTGCGTTTTGGAGTTACCTTGGAGGTTTGAAAAATGCTGATGCTTGGGCCCCACCCCCAGAGATCACAATTTACCAGTCTAGAGAAAAGCCTGGGCATCAAGATTTAAACACATTTTTCCAGGTTAGTATAATTAGCAACCAAGGCTGAGAATCATTGTCTTGAATAGTGGTACTCAATGCACCAGAGCCCCCTGGAGGGATTCTTCAAACATAGGTTTTGGGGACCCATCTGATTCAGTAGGCCTGGTGTGGGGGCCTGGAAATTGCATTCCTAACATGATTCCAGATGATGCTGATGCAGCTGGTTTGGGGACCACACTTTGAAGACTACTGGATACAGGGAAGGGGCTGGGGTCCAAGACTTGCATTTTGAGAACATGCAAACAAGGATTCTGATATTCTGATATCAAGGGTCCGAACCCTGCTCTTAGAAACAATGTTCTGCTGTGGAGGGGGCAAATAGGCCAAGCTGCAGTCTGTGCAAAGGCAGGCTGACACCTGGGGATCCTTTGTGTTTCTCTTGTTGAACAGAATTAGACCCCTCCTCCCACTCTTAACCCTCTAATCTAAGTGTCCATTGCTGGGTCCACTCTACTATCCCAACAGGGGGTGCTTTTTTCCCCCTCAGAGAGGCAGAATAGCATAGTAGTTAAGAAGACAGACTCTGGACCCAGATTACTGGGATAAATCCTACATCTTGAACCTTCAGGTCAAGTTGCTCAATTTCCCACGCTTCAGTTTTCTCATTTGTAAAATGAAGTCTGTGTCTCAGAGCTGGCTGAGTGAACTAATATATGTGAGATGCCAGGAAGAGGACCGATGCAGGGTGAATGCTATATAAATGTTGATTACTATTCCCAGTTCTTATTCTTGGAAAACACAATAATTGGATTTCCCCTAGAAAAGGGGAAGGTTTCACAAGCCTTCTGGCTGAAAGGGGTCTGATAGCTTTTTTCTGTTCTCTAACATTTGATGTGTATCTCTATTCTGTTAGCTAATTTTTCTCCCGTGTCCATAAATAACTAAGATCCTCATTAGGGGAGGACTGTACCTTATTTTTGAATTTCTAGCTCTTAATAAATGCTTGTTAAACAACTAAACCATGTGGCTAGAAACAAAACTGTCTTGCTGCTTTGGCCATTGCCTAGAATCATCTATTAGTTTGCAGAAAATCAGGATTTTTGGGTGAGAGTGCAAATAGCACATTTCAATCAACCTTATCATCTAGTATTTGTTCCCAAGTCTGCTGATGGTGAAGCCACATGAACATCTCCCTGATGGAAGCATTTGTAAGACAGCAAATGTTCTTATAACATAGGGCACATGCCTGATTCCCCATAGAGGCTAGCCAGATGCTTGCCAAAGCTTTTTTTTTCTTTTTGGACACAAAAAACACATTTTCAGCCTCCCTGTGTCTGCGTGGGGCCATGTGACTGGGTCTTGCCAATAGAGTTTGAGCATGTGTGATATGTACCATTTCCAGGCCTTGGGGGTTAAGAGGATGCATGTCTTTTCTAGGCCCCCCTCTTTCCTTGGCTTCCAGTTAGATGGAGAACACTGGGTGGAGTACTCTTAGACCCTAGTAGTTGGTCTACTAGAGTTGGAACTCCAAAATGGAAGTACTGGGTTTCTGAATGATTGAATAACTCAAGTGAGAAATGGACTTTTATTATTTTAAGTCACTGCATTTGGAAGTTGTTTGTTAGATCATTTTATTCTACAAAAAAAAAACCACCCCAAAAAACTGTGAAGCTAAGAGTCCCAACTTGGGGTCTTGAAATTTGTTGGTGGGGTGGCCTTTGACAGCCTGGGAAATAGATGTTCATGTGGATTCCCAAGGGCCATTTCACCACCAGTGTCAAATAAAACATAGTTGCCTGGTCAAATGAAGCAACTAGATAGACACATCTCTTTTATTAAATTGATTTTCACTGTAAAAGTTTACAGTCTAAAATATATAAGAGGGTAAATTTGGTGATTTCTTCATTTTTAGTAAAAAAATATAAAAATTTGGGGGGAAAGGCAGAAACTCAAAGAACCCTAATCAAAAAAGAAAAAATTCTATCCTAGGATAATTGGTATGATTTTAAAATTATAGTCTTTCCAGAAAAATGTGGCTACTGGTACCTCCTTAGGACTTCTGTAGAACAGTTTTTATGAGGCCTGCCTCCTAGAAGACCAAAAGCCACATACTATAAACTGGGTTTTGCTTGGCTCCATATCTTTTAGGCCTCATCATTGTCATTTAGTCTCCCCACCAATTTTATATTACTGGGTGGTAAACTCACCATATTCTGGCTGCTCTTTGGTTTCAAAAGTTCGGTGACCTGGGGCTGGACGGTCCCATCCCCTGGGGGGGTTGAGGAAGTTGCTGTCATCAGAGGTACTGTCGTATTTGTAGTCCTGGTCCCCGCTGTTGCCCCTCGCCAAGGAGAAGGACCTCTGCCACCAGGCCCGCCAGTCGGGGGATGGGACTGACCAGCTGTGTTTATTCTCCGGATGCTGATCTTTATCTGCTTCAGAGTCAGGGCCATCCACCACCTCTATGGTGACCTGAAGAATTCAGAACAGGCCAGGGTCAATGAGGAGTCAACAGCCTCCAAACTGGGTGGCCCTTAGAAGAAAGTTTGGTAGAGCAGAAGGAAAGGATGAACGCATCTCTCTCAAAGGAAAGCTGACACTCATGATGATGCAGAATGGAAAACATCCAGGGGTGAGCAGTGAACTTACTGGTGGACATGGGATTTGGGTTGGGAGGATCCAAGAGACAATTCATAATGAATGGCCTTGATTTACTGGTGACTACATTGTTGAGAAGTCTTTCATTCAAGGTGTAAACATGTAATATATATGCTTCTGAAGTGACACTAGAGTAAAACTGATCATTTGCTGATACCAAACCTGTCCCAGGCTGTCTTCTAAATGTTCCACATATTCATTTATGTAGTCTTCATAACAACCTTATAACAACTGCTGTCATTGATTATCTGCAAAGATGTCCCTGGCAATTCATTTCTGTCCTTGTGTATGTGTGTATTACACAGGAGGTGAAATTTATTTCTCCTTCCCTTCTATCTGGGCTAGCTTTGTGATTTACTTTGCCACTAGACTATGGTAGAAATAACACTGTGATAAGTCTTATGAGTTCTTGCAGTTTCTCTTAATTTTCATGGACTAGTCTGACCTCTGTGTAAGATATCCTAGCCTAGACTGCTGCATACACAGAGGCCAAATGAAGAGAGAGGCTGCATAGATGAGGACCGAGCAGTTTCAGCCAATCACATGGGCCCACTGGGAATCCTCCAGCCCCAGTCGAGTCACCCCAGGCAACACCATGTAGAGAAGAAATGAGCTCTCCTGTGCTCAAATACCTGAACTTCAGCACTATGACAATCTGACGGTGGTTGCTTCAAGCTATTAAATTTTGGAGTGGGTACTAGACTACCACAGATACTTTTTACAGACTGGGAAAAGTGGCACACTGAGCAGTTAACAATTTGTCTAGTGATACACAGTCAATAACTGTCAAACATGGGTATCTGACTTCAAAGGCCAAGCTCTAACCAAATGGCCACACAACCCCTCAAGAGGCAACAAAGGGACTATCCCATCATGGGGCCATGGCAGCAAGGAAGTCACAGGTGCTGGTGGGGACTGCATGTCACAGGTTGTATGGAGTTATGCACACAAACTCCCCAAGATCCAGGCCTTCAGAGGTGCAATTTGCATTCATCCCATAGCACAGACCTCATGTGCCAACTCTTCAACCTATCCTCAGGGTCAGAGTAGAAAGACCTGAGACAAGGTCAGAACTTGCTCTTGGATTTACAGAGTCTAGTTTGGAAGTCACAGGGCTGGAAGAATACAGCTTCTTGGCTCTCAGAGACAATCAACATAGAGAAACTTGTTTTAAAAAATACCATAAAAGACTCATTGGGTTCCTTTGGCCATCACATAGCTCTTGCAACACCCCCTGGATGAGTTATGTGCAAATGAATCAGAAACATGCGCTCCGAGTAATCAGCGCAAGATGTACTGGGCAGATGCATTTCCAGTTTTGCCCTAACTCGACATCTGAGAGAGTTGCTGGGATGCTTTGCCAAATTGAACCAGGGTGTGCCCAACCCAGAGATAAACAGCCCCTTCCTTATGTATTAGGATTCGTGAACTCTGAATTCTGCTTACTTTGACATTCAAAGGAAGTTGCCCAATGTACAGTGGGTTTGGGCTAAGTGACCTTATGTGGCTCAGACACAAAGTCAAGTGTGAGACACTCAGTTCTAGAGCATACTCAGGCTGCAGCAGGTCAAGTATATCTTCCCCACTGGGGTAAGTTGCCTGGAAGGGCACTATTGACTTTCTTCTATACCACACCTTCACCCCAGTCTGTTAAGTTACCCTTGTATACTTATAAATGAGTATGGAGCTTCCAGTCATCCTCAAAAGAAAAAAAAAAAGGGAAGAATAGAGAGGAAACGCGTCTTATGTCTTGTATCACCACAGTGTGCTAGAAAGAACGGTTGCTGGAGAATCACAGTGACTGGACAGGACTTGTCCTGAGAAGGAGGGCACAGTAGAGCAGTGTAAATCTAAGCTGAGCAATGACAGGGCAATGCTGAGTCTTTGGAGACATAATCCTTCTGCGCGGTGCTGTTCCCCTCTGCCTGCAGACAGAACTGAGCCGCAACAATCGTCTGCAAGGCTATTAAGGGTCTTGGAGGAGAGAAGCTGCCAAGAGCCAGGCAAGCCTGCAATTATGGTAATGAAATCAGTCTCTGGGTAGTAGATAAGGGGGAACATGCCCAACAGTTTTGGTATTCCATTTGTATTCAGGCTGGAGTCAAGGGATTGCCTAAACAAAACATGCCCTGCAATTTCTTCAAGCTGGGAATAAAAACAATTTTATGTTTTAAGCTATTACCGTCAATACGATTTTTTTTCAAACTTATACTCTGATCCAAACAAAATAGATTTATTGCCTGGCCAGGCAATGAGTAACGAAATGCGAATTTACTCCAAAAACTCTATCAATGACTAAATCTCAACAGCTTAGAGGTTTCTTTTTCTCCTTTAATTTCTAGCCATTGCCCCAACTGAATTAAAAACAAAAACGCAAAAAACACACAATCCTTAGGATCCGCCCTTCCCTACAGTTAATAATGTGGAAACCTCATACTTTTTAATATCAAAAGGAGAAATCTAATCTGGAACCTGAAATTTCATAGTCATTCAATTAAAAAGACTTAATGAGCAATGACTTCTTGAATGGTGGGGATTAGTTTTATATTTCCTGTTGCTTTCATTCTATTTACATGTTCCCTACCCTCAGAGAATCTGTTTATAAAGATGTCTTGAATAATAAACAATGTGATGAGTTGAAGGTGTGGGAGTGAGCCCAGCAGATTTCCGAGCTGATAAAGATCCTAGATCTTATCATGCTTTCTTTTCCTTAATAAACATAAATTATGTATCTTCAACATTTGTTTCTTCTGGACTCTTCCATACCATAATCATGACAATAAAAGAAAGAGATTGCTTTCAAATAACCCAAGTCCAACTTCTGGCAAAATATCTATCACCAGTTCCCAAGAAAGAGAATACATAATAGACACCAATTTTGGAAATTCTGTCCAAGGCAGGAAATGGGGATCCTATGCAATATTATCAGCTTTTTCCCCTCCTCTTGACAATAAAACATTTATTAGAAACAAAATCTTTACTCTTGTTCTAAAAAGCACTTTCTATAGGAAAACTAACACAATTCTTAATCTAACTGATAAAAGAGTAAGGACACTGAGTACCCAGAAGTCTTGACACTCGAAATTCAAAAGAATCTGCTAGAATTTTCTAGTGTATTGGCCTTCTATGTTTTGTGAGCTGTGGGGACTAGGCAGGCATAGATTTGTATTTCCCAGAGAGGAAAGTGAGCCTTGAGAGGTGATTTCTTTAGGAACACTGACCATCCGGGGATAGGAAAACAGTCTCCAGTGAAAGATTAGGCCCCAGACTCCTTCACAATTACCACAGAAAGAACATAAAATGGTCTAGGATGACATATAATTCCCTCCTCTCAGACCAATGCCCTAAAAACAACTCTAGCAACCCCAGTTGAGTGAGTTGTGTTAAATGCTTTGAGACTTGTGTAGTGTGCTTATCCAAATATTACTGCTTACTCTACACCAGTTATACCCAAACTTCAAGCACAGAAACTGGATTGGAGAATTCAGCTTCCCTAGGTAAATACCAAGGAAGATGTAGAGCTTGTTTCAGAACTGGGTCTTCTGATTCTGAATTATTTTATACACCTATTCTCAGCCCTCTTCATCCCCATTGTCAACCAACATCTACCAGTTTAGGAAAGCTTACCATATATCAGTTCTAAGCACTTTACGTGGATGATCTCATTGGATCCTCTTAACAGTCCTACATCGGTGTAGCAATACAATAGTCATAGGTACTCATAGACAAGGAAACAGAAGCATAGGAAGGTCAAGTAACCTGCATGAAGCCACAGAGGCCAAGCCTGGTTGACTGAATGGTGGCTCTAGATCCCAAAAACAAGTCAGTACAGTTGCATCTCAGGTTCTGGATAGCAGGGTCCCATGAAAAGCTGACCAATACAGGCCCATGGGTGTGGGGTTCATATCTTGGACATAGACATTTCTTAGTTCTTATTCAGAAAGATCTGCCATTCCAGAAGATTTACAGAAAAAGGAGGGAAAATCATAAGTAGAAGCACACACAGCATTTGTAGCCCTGGCCAACTCATCTGATTGTATCTTGTGGCACTCAAGAGGCCTATGGCCATGCAAATAACTCTATGCAGGGAAAAAAGGTCTTTAGATGACTATTTTTAAGTCTCCCTCAATGGAAGAAAAGAAATAAGTATATTGGTTGAAATGAATACTAATCTCAGCTTGATCCAGAAAAGAGAAATATTTGGTTGTGAATAGCTACTGTGGTAATGAATTGATGCAGTAAGCCTAATAATGAGTTTATTTTAGAAATTTTTGTCTTTGCTATCTGGCCATCAGCTGCAGACCAAAAACCCAGCCAAGGATAGATACTAAAGTTCAAGTTTAACTTGTCCTGGGGGATTTACTTTCTTTCCTGAATGATTTTTTGAAAAACAAAACCCAACTTCTAGTATTGTTTTAAATTTAATATGGAGATTTGGTTCAAGAGTTTGAGGCTATTTCTTTCTATTTTGCACATTGCTGTTTTTTTCCCACTCACTTCCACAGCCTGAAGCCACTCTTACAAAGGGGAGCCTGATGCACTTGGGACAGGGGCCACCTGGCTTGGGGGGAGGGGGTTAAAAAACGCTTAAAAACGCAGGGCTTTTTGAAGGATTTTCCTTCTGAAAATTCAAGAGGTCCAAGAAGGATGTGGACCCAAGCAAACCCTCAGCATTGCCACTTTGGAAAGGTGTGGGCTGTTTGACAAAACGACTCAACCCTGGAGTGTGTGAAACACTTCCAGACACTGTAGGGGTTGAGGAGGAGGGCCTAGAGGGAGGGGTATCCTGTTCAGTTCCCCAGTTCTAGTTAGAG